TTAAACCGATGACTCAAATAGATTCATTATATATGACATTTGACATGCTGGACATAATTATCCCATAATTATCATATTAATATTATATAATATTATATTAGTATTTAATAGCACTATTAATATTATATAATATTATCATTTTAATATTATATAATATTATATTAGTATTTAATAGCACTAAGATATCCGTGCTGTACTCCTTATTTGCCTCTTCAGTTGTTACTGTTTAGTTATTCTAAAAGGAGCTTTTTATAATTTCTGTTTATCTTAAACATTAGGCGGAAAAATATATGCTATCTCTCTCTCGTATAATAACATCTCTTACGAGATCGACTCTTTCTTTCTTTTTCTCAACTTACACTTTAGAGAGTTTATAAATATTGCGTTGCGAGATTACTGTCGAAGCCTCGGTGGCCGAATGGAAAGGCGTCCCGCCCGAAAAGTGGGGAGGTTCCAGGTTCGAGTCCTGGCGGAAGCAGTTTTTTCGCAACTTATATAATAAATCTATTTGAGTCATCGGTTTAATGGGTTTTGGGAATTTTAAATATATATATATATATATATATATTGTATATATAAAATTGGGACTCAAGGATCGGTCGTCTAAGTATGAAAGGTAGATTCGCCGCGTACGTTAATCGAAGAAAAATTTCGATACGTGCGTTTGACATGCTGGACATAATTATCCTCCCACTATCATATTAATATTATATAATATTAGTATTTAATAGCACTAAGACATCCGTGCTGTACTCCTTATTCGCTTCTTCAGTTGTTACTGTTTAGTTATTCTAAAAAGGAGCTTTCTATAATTTCTGTTTAATAATATATATTAGATAATGCTAGTTACACACCATTAAATATAATTGAACTGAAAAATAATTATTGTACAATACAGACTTAGCAATTGAATAATCATTAAATAATATTACAAATTTGAGAAGGCATACAGAAATATCTTCTAATAAAATTTCAAAGATTTTTTTAGAAATATTGAATACAAATATATTTGTAATGTTTTAATTATTGGAATAAGGCTCAGTTATTGGAAAATTTATCTTAAATTAATTTTTATCTTTTTTTTAAATTAATTTTTAACTAAATTTTTTAAAATTAATTTTTACTTAAATTATTTTTTAAATTAATTTTTACTTGATTTCTCAAATCGCATCTTCAAATTTTACGAATTATTTTCCATTTATTATTTAATAAGTCGCGAATAATAATACTGCGGAGATTCACTCGATTCTCTGAGTCTTCTATCGCTAAGTCTTCTAACGACGAAGCTTCTTAAGTCTCAAGCTTTTCTTTTTCGTAAGAAAATTCTTGCAATAAAAGATGGACAAGCCAGAAATAGACTGTATTTTGCTTTTCATTTTTCCTAAGGACGAATATAGACAACCATTGTAACACAATACCATGGATTTTCTTTTTTGGATTTCGCATTTCGTTCTTTTAGTCCCAACATACATTCGTATAGTGTGTCGTAAATTTCTCTTTTCGACACGGTTTTCGTTACGGTTTTCGTTCGTTTTTCACCCCGTGTCATGTGTAGCTTAGAAAGGGAAAATACCATCAACTATCCATCAATTTTGACGGGACTTAACAGAAGTTATTTAGAGACTGCAAGAATCGCATCTGTTTCGAACTGAAATAAACTAACAATTATTTTCTCTTGCTAGTTCTCATGCACGATATAAATGCATTTTAATTTTTTAAGGAAGGAGAAAAGGAGGGAGGAGGAATATAAAATTACTCGGTAAAATTACTTTTGATTGAAATAATTTCAATAAAATTATTTCAATAATTATTAATTTATTGTGCGAGCAAAAGTTTTCCTAAAAAAATTTTCCTCGCTTCGTATATCATCTTGTAAATTTTTACTTGGTTCAGTGATAGTACGTTTGATCGTATTGATTTCGAAGAGATCAGCAGGATCAAGCGTATTGATCCATGACTATACGTAATTTTCCCGATGGAAAATGAAATGAAGCGAATCGTTACTATTCTTACGGTAGTAAGAACACTTCTTTTGGTAGTTCGCAGGCGTGCAAGCGATAAATACCGCTATACTGGACAAATGGCCGAATTTGCGAAAGCGCGAGAGTTTCGTGATCATTGGTATATGCGCTGCCTGCTGGTTACTGGGGATTCCGATGGTGTTCGACGGAGGTATCTACTTGTTTACACTGATGGACTGGAACACCGCCTCCTGGGCAATCCTGTTAATCGGAGTCGCTGAGGTTTGCGAGGTCGCTTGGTGCTACGGCTGCTATAGATTTTTAGATAACGTCGCCGATATGGGAATGCGTTTCGGCAGTATCCTCCGCGGCTACTGGTGGTTCAGTTGGGTCGTCTTAGCGCCTCTCACTTGTCTGGTAAGTGTGTCTTATCTGCCATCAGCCAGCGTCTTCATCGGGGCTCAATCCTCTCGTTGCTGGCGAAGTTTGCGCCAGCCACGAGGTATCTGTTAGTGCGGGGCTTTCCACTGAATTTACGAAGTACCTTAAAATTACACACACACATACACACACACATGCATACTGCTACGAAGCAATTTGTTGCAAATTGCTCAAGTTTATCAACTATTACTTTCGGTATCTAACTTGAGAATCACAAATAATTATTAAATCGTGCTTGCCAATAGTAAATACAATTTGTTTATGCAGGTAAAAAAAAATAAAAAATGATTAAAAAATTTTATCAGATATTTAGAAACTATAAGCAAGATATTCTTTGTAGCAGCATGAACTTTGATCTCGCGTCGTCTTGCAACTCCCCATTGTTATTGAAATAAGTTATCTCGGCCCTTATCTTTATACGCTTCTGAGTAAACTCAATGTAACGATCAAAACTTTAACGACAGTGTTGAGAATATATTTGCCGAGCGATACAATCGACGGTAATAACAGGAAGATTAAGCATGACAGTGCTTAATCCCATCGGAGCTAGGAGTCTGCGTTTATTGACTGTAAACTTTACGGAAAGTTCGGTGACACGGAGAAAGAGACAGAGGGAAGGTACTGTGTATTAGTTCCCGACCGCTTCGTGGAGACGACTAATTGAATTTATATGGAAAGTAAAAACTTAAGAGTTTTAGGCTACGACTGTTGAGAGACGCTTCGCGGAACAATACTGGCTAGAAGCATTCTTTAATTTTTTTGATGTTATATAGACCGTTTCATAACGACTTTAGAAAATTTCAACGATTTGCTAGAAAAAGATCGCTTTAAGAGGAAAGAAATGTCGCACGACTACAGATACTTTACCAAGTGGCTACGCAACTAAAAGAGATCAAAAGTGTTGTTATCACGATTGCAGTTTTTCTCACTCATGTCAGAATTTATTTGAATGAAATTTGGTTGGATATAGTTTCGTATATATAAAAAGATTATTTGTGCACAATATTGAAATTTCGCTAACGTCGTGAACAATATCGATTTTATTTGAAGTGGAAGAAAATTTGTCCGAATTTATTCGAGTAATGCCGAGCGCTCCGACGCACGGTTTATCAGTTTTAACACACGCAAGGGCTCGCCCTGTACACTCCCGGACGTTCGCGGCCCTAGGAGGCGAGGGCGTCGTATTTCCCGTGGCCAAACTGCTTAATTAATCCGACTGCCTGTCTGGGACATGCCAAGCGAATTTTTATTTATAACGGCTGAATTTTGTCTGCACGCGGTTGTTCGCGGAGGCTGAAATATCTCCCTCGGCGGACACGCCGGCCCACGGTGTGTACGCCGCGGAGAAGTTAGTTTTGATTAAAAATATGAAATCTCTTTTAATTGATAATTGTGTCACGTTTCCGCCCGCGCGCACTATCGTAGTTGCATTTCCTAGTCGCACGGAATAATCACCGGAACTTTGCACACTACGAATTAAACAGTCGCTGTTTCCGACGTTCCGTATATGTGTGTGCGTATGTGTGGCTAAGCTAAAGCAATCCCTTCGAAGCTTCTTAGTTTTTAGCACGCGAGCGTGAAAACTTCTGTTTTCTTTTAAGTTTTATATCATTGAAGGGAGAAGAATATGCAAGTTTAAACGCGTCGATGAATTAACGAGCCGTGCAATCGGGCCAAAGTCTCGCAGTTCATCATTCATCATTATTCAGGATCATTATTCTTGTGTCATAGAATAAATCTCTAAATTACCGCGCGTCTTTCACGGCACTCCTGTCGTACGTGAGAAACGCGACCACCGACCAACTAACCAGACTTCGTTTTTTTCCATAGAGTATCTTTGTATATCAAACGAGTACCTACACTGTAGCTACGTACGGCTCATATAAATTCCCCCAATGGGCGGACGCTATTGGAATACTGATCGGATTGTCGACTTTGGCGCCGATGCCAATCTTCTTCGTTGTAAAGCTATGGCAAACGAAGGTGAGTTAGCTCTGGCTGAGTCATTTATCGCGGCGCACAATTCTTCGCATTCTCTACGCGATAAAGTGTATTGTATTGGGAAGAAAAAAAGGATCTCATTAATTTCCATTTAATTTTCGATTAGTCGCAGTCATCTTCGAGGTGCTGCGTGATTTCATTTTACTATGACGTGGAACGGCACTTAGAGAGAGGCACACGTCATATGTTTTTATCTTCTTAGGTTAGGTTCCTATCTTCCTTTTCTGTTTTTTTAAACAGATAGCTTGCCTCTCGATTATTATCTTACGTCAAGATTGCTATTTTAGTCAATACTTTGTTCAGTATTAAGATTTTGAAAATAGTATTTTTCGAGTCTTTTTTGAGTCTAAAGTATTTTTAAAATTCTATTTCTTTTATTGATTTTTGAAATTTATTGAAAAAAACCGCAATACGGTTAACAAAATATAATATAAGGCTGTTTGTGAAAAAATGTTCATTTTCAATCGGAAATTGTGAAAAACAACACCACATGTGATCCTACATTTCGAGTTTAGTCGGTTTTCATTTATAGGAATTTCACGGCACGTTTAAAGATTCCGGACTTTTTGCTCCTTTTAAAAATACACAATGAAGATATTCGTTCTAAAAACTTGAAAGTATATCTGTGAATTTTTACAGATTTTTCGAATCACCTTAAAGATATGATAAAAGAGCCGGACATGTGGTGCCGTTTTTCACATAACCTACTAAGGGTTAATAAAATGTCCAATAGAACTTTTGCTTTACTTCATTATTTCCATGATGTCTAAAAGTAACACAACAATTACGTTTAAAATGTAAATTTTCTATAAAATAAATAAATCTCAGATGACGAATCAACTCTTTTTTTACCATAAAACCAGCGCTGGAAAAATAAAAGGTTAACCCTAGTATCTGTATTAGCTATTGTTCATGGAATGTTTCATATTACGTTTCATATTATGTTTCATTAAAGAAAGTTTTCTTATTATTTCTTTATTCCAAGATTCTTCCTTGGTCTAATTTCAAATGATAGTTTGTCTACAACTCAACATCAATATTCTTTCCGATATATTTTTACCGTCATTTCGTAACGGTTCGAGGGATGACAGTCCTGTGTCAGTTCTGTGTCAATAATTAAGTGAAAACAACCTTGAGTGGATATACTTGGCAATCCGTCTTGACAGCAAAATTAACGACGAACTGTAACCGATCTTTGAGAAGTCAACTTGGGAAACTGTGTATTGACACTAAAATTAATGAACTTCTTACATACCAACGTTGTTTGACCAGTTTTTCTTGGGTCTCACCAAGACAATACATCTATATATATGCAGGTATACCTTACATGAAAGGCGACAATGTACCTGAAATTATTGTATTTCCGTCATCCCGATGAAAATGAAAATTTTTCGGTGCTTAGCCTAACGGTTTAAAAGTTAGCCTGGCCCGCAACGTAAAATCTCGAGAACTCGCGGAACGTCTTAATATAAGTTCTTCCAGTACGTAGGTAATCGTACTTTGAAACGAAAAGTTTCTCTGTGAACCTCCACCACACTCCATCGTCCCGGATCGCACCTATTTTTATGGGGAGCGAGTGAAAACGAGGGAAAGAGCGAAAGAGCTCGACGCAACCCTCCTTCTTGACCGTTTCCGCTTTCCGTTGGCCGATAAATTTAACATTACTCTTATCTACCTCCTCTTCCGTTGTTTTCGACCGTTCTGTATGCACTTCGGAGATACTCGTGCGCGGTTTCGCACGGAGATATGACTTTGCCAGAAAAAAATAGAGAGGGAGGAGAGAGCGAGAGAAAGAGAGAGAGAGGGAGAGAGCGAGAGAGAGAGAGAGAGAGAGAGAGAGAGAGAGAGAGAGAGAGAGAGAGAGAGAGAGCCTTTATTAGCTTTCACAGCTATTTTCGATTACATTTATATTACAC